TTTCCTGACCCCCCACTCTAACCCAGATTCTTCTAAATATATATGTATTATTGTTCCAATGATGCCCATGCCAGCTGCCTTCCAGTCCTCTGCTAATGAGGCTTATGCTAATGAGGCTGATTTAAGCTAATAGTCCGTCAGATTCACATGGGAGATTTTTTAAAAGTTCTTGGGCCAATTCCATCAAACCCCAGTAACCTAGTGGCTTCTGTAATTTGTCGTAAAACATCGGCTTTTGATGCATTTCTTCAGATACGCTACCAGAAAACAGGGTTTCGGGGGCCCCTGCCATTTTCTCCACCAGCTTTTCCTCTGTTAATCGTGAAGGCTGCCCGTTCCTTAGAAGAGTTTGGATTTGATATCCCACTTTATCACTACCCGAAGGAGTCTCAAAGCGGCTAACATTCTCCTTTCCCTTCCTCCCCCACAACAAACACTCTGTGAGGTGAGTGGGGCTGAGAGACTTCAGGGAAGTGTGACTGGCCCAAGGTCACCCAGCAGCTGCATGTGGAGGAGCGGGGAAGCGAACCCGGTTCCCCAGATTACGAGTCCACCGCTCTGAACCACTACACTACACTGGCTCTCCTTAGCTCTTCCACAGTCTCCGTGCCATCCCCCTTTCTTGTCTCCAGAAGTACTGTCCTCCCTTCTGCCAGACTCCTGTCTCCGTACACAGCAAAAAAAAAGTATTGCTCCTAGTCAAGAGTTATTTAGCGTCAGCTGTTTTGCAGGAGGTGGACTGGGTGACCCTTGGGGTCCTTCCGAACTCCGTACTTCTGTGATTCGTTAAGTGTTGTGGTCCGGGAGAAAGCATTTGATAAGGAAAACGGAGTCTGTGAACACATTTGAAGCACAGGAGAGAATAAGCTGGGGTGACGACATGAGTTGCAGGGTCACCAGATTCCTCTCCCCCTCCAAAAATCCCAAAGCTCATAAGAAGTCAGGGGTGGCTATTGTGGTGGCCTCCAGACTGGACTCCGCTCCCTCCAGCCTCACCTAGCCAGGCCCATTTGGTGAGAATTGGAGTCCAGCCGCCCCACAGCCTTCCGTCTTTTATTGGCCTGGGTCTGACACGGAGTTCCTGCCCTCCCCCAAAAGCTTTCTTTTCCCATGTTGATCTCCAAGCCTGTCCGGTCCTGTTCTGAATTGGAACGGCAGGGGACTTTTGGGATTACTTGGTTCATGTACAGTCTCCTTTCGCTGAAAGAGAATAAAGAGTCATTTTCCTTTTTTGCTTTCCAAACTACTCGCTTCATACCGTTCTCGGGCTTTCTGGCATGAGATGGTATTATGCGTCTGCAGAATAAACTGTTCATTTTACCTGGCAAAGAGGCGGGGGAAGGGGTGTTCCTCCAAAACGCCGTCGTAAGTAGCAAGGATAATTAAAGGTGGTTGTTCTCTTCCCGCAAGGCGTCATTAGCATTAAGAATAAACTTCAAAGGGTTGGATTCTGGCATTCTGCATCAACAAGATCAGAAGAGTTTTGTGGCCCTTTGGAGAGGCTAGCTGCCATATTGTGGCCTCGGAGCCTCGCCCATCAGATGCCGGAAATGCCTGCTTCTTTCCAGGATCACCATCTCAGGGGTTGTAAATGTGCCAGGCTGTGTGTATTTTGCAGCCTGCTTATCTGATATGGACAAGCAGCTTCACAGGGGGCACAAATCGGCTCCTGCTCCTGTCTGCGTCCCCTTCATTTGAGGGTTACTTCTAATGTTTCAGGAAACAGCAAACAGCAAGCAGCCGTTCCGGGTTGATGGATCTCTCTGGCACCTTGCTGCCAGGTACCTCTGGATCCTTGGGCTCCTTAACCCAGGCTAAGCAGCAACTGCTACCACCTTCTGCGGACGGTTGCATTGGGGACAGGGGGACTGAAGCTTCCACCACTGAAAACCAGAGCTTGAAAGGGTGAGAGACACCCTTTTCATCCTCCTGGTGTGTCCAACAGGGACAGATAAATGTGTTCTGCTTGTTTTTTAAACTCATTGAGATGTCTACTACTTACTTTTGTTGTTGTTGTTGTTGTTGTTGTTGTTGTTTCCATTGAATGCTTGTTGAATGCTTGTTAAAAGAGTCCCAAAATATAGCATAAGATGCAGTAATAGAGTATAAAGGTAAAGGGACCCCTGACCATTAGGTCCAGTCGTGGCTGACTCTGGGGTTGCAGCGCTCATCTCACTTTACTGGCCGAGGGAGTCAGCGTACAGCATGACTAAGCCGCTTCTGGCGAACCAGAGCAGCGCACGGAAATGCCGTTTACCTTCCTGTTGGAGCGGTACCTATTTATCTACTTGCACTCTGACATGCTTTCCAACTGCTAGGTTGGCAGGAACAGGGACCGAGCAACAGGAGCTCATCCCGTCACGGGGATTCAAACCCCAACCTTCTGATCGGCAAGTCCTAGGCTCTGTGGTTTAACCCACAGCGCCACCCACATCCCTCTAGTAATAGAGTATGCGGTGATTAAAACTTTCTTCGGCTTTCTCTGATCTGAAGTGTCCACCCAGAGGAGTGGGATGTTCCTCTTATTTAATAATAACGAAAGTGAAGGCCTCTTGTGTTGCTCCCTTGCGGAGTGAAGGGAAATCTGTTGAGATGACCAGCGCAGGGAGCTGCTTCCAGCTTCAGAGCCTGAGAAATCTCAAGGGTCTTTCTAGGCAGGGACCAGAAACTCAGGGAAGCTGTGCGCTTTTCCTTTCTTGGAGGTTCCCAAAAGACATCGCATCTCAGGAATGTGGCAGCCTGTCTCCTGCTCAGCGGTGTGTGTGTAGAGGTCAGGGTGCATCTTTTCCCATTCAGACTCTAGCTGTGGATGCATGTAATCTGCTGCTCTTGAAAACGCAGCCAAAGTGAGCAGCCTCGCCAGCTTTGCACATCTTGCTTTGGGTATTTCCCCTCCAGCGTCTCTCTTTGCATGGGTTTCTAAGGGGATAATTACCTCTTCCTTCGTGTTATTTCCCCCCAGGCTTCACAATTAATTAATTACCCATGGCTTAGAGGATTGATGGATAGGGCAGGGAGAATTCAGACACTCGCAAGTGGACGGTGTCCAGGGCCTCCCAAGCCACTTTGTGGGGAGCTGCCCAAATATTGCTGTCAACTCGGGGGGGGGGGGGAGCTACCAGGCTTCAGTGGCAGCTCTTACCAGAATGTACCTTCAAGTGGAATGGAGCAGTAAATCTTGCAGGGCCAAACATAAATGCTAGCTATTCCATGTTTCTTTCTTTCTTTCTTTCTTTCTTTCTTTCTTTCTTTCTGGCAGCAGACTTCCCACGCTTTTGCTCCATTTCTCTCTAAATTTTCAGCAATTTTAAATGTTTCTTAAAGCTTACTATTAGGCTCCCTTACCTGCTTTGAATGGGAGGTGTCATTTCTATAGCAAGCTACATTGATGAAAGCCAAAAGTAGTTACGGAATTTGCAGGGCGCAGGTTCCTTCCAGACAAGAGTTAACTGCAACAGCATCATGGGAAATGTAGTCTGCAGTGAAAAAACCCAAACAAACCATGGTGACCTTTCCAGTGAAACCCGAACTCCTTAAGAAACCTTAAACATTGATACGAAATTTGCAAGTTGATTTTGATTTAATATTCGCAGTAACAAATTTTAATTTCCAGGAACAAATGTTGCTCTCAGGATGGCTCCTATTAACACCATTTGCATTGAAAAGTCAGCAAACATTGTGATTGCTATAATAATGATAATATCAGAAACACAGTAGCATTTAAATAAAGCAGGGAAAAAGCAAATCGTTCGAGCAAGTAATACAATTCAATACAAGCTCATACTGATTCCCAGTTTGGGAATCTCACTTTGATCCCATCACCCTCTGGGCTGGTTTACACAGTCATCTTATGTGTGTGATAAAACATTTCCTATTCTGTATCATGCCAGGGTTTTATGCAGGAGAGGAAAGAAACCCTTCCTGTGTCCTCAGGCTTGGCAGGAAAACACTTTTCGTAACTTGTTTTGACCCTGCCTTGTGTCAAGGAACTGAATCTGCCTTGGCTGAACCTGCCAGCGATTGCAGGTCATCGAGGCCAGGCCAAGTCGGGGCTGATGCCACCGACAAATCTCCCCCAGAACTGGTTGGGAAAGGCTTGTGTGGTTCTGTGCGTGCCCTCCTTGTCTCTGCCCCCCCCCCCGTTCCCCCTTCCCCCCGTTTGGAGATCTCGCCCTCCTGCGGCAGCCCTTCTGACATTCTTCCCCGTTTTGCTTTCCAGGGCAAGGTGGCTCAGACGGCCTGCATGTCTGCCTGCAAGCACTTGGCCACTTCGCTGACCCAGCTGCTCTTGGAAGCCGAAGTCCGGCAGCTCTCGCTGGGGGCCTTGCAGCAGTTCAACCTGGACGTGGCGGAGTGTGAACGTAAGGCTGCTTCCGCGTGCCGGGGGGGGGCGCCAAGGGGGGACGTGTGCCAAGAGATGGACAAGAGGGCTGGGTTTTGCTATAGGAGCGCCCAAGGCACGCTCAGGCCATGCTGTGTGGTAGTAGTAGTAGTAGTAGTAGTAGTAGTAATAATAATAATAATACAGTCATACCTTGGGTTGAATGCGCTTCAGGTTGAGCATGTTTGAGTTGTGCTCCGCGGCAACCCGGAAGTAACGGAGCGTGTTACTTCTGGGTTTCGCCACTTGCGCATGCCCAAACGCTCAAAATGACGTCATGCGCATGCGCAGAAGCGGTGAAAAGGGATGCGTGCGTGCGCAGACGTGCCGTCGCTAGTTACGTTTGCTTCTAGATATGAACGGTGCTCCGGAACGGATCCTGTTCATATCCAGAGGTACCACTGTAATAATAATAATAATAATAATAATAATAATAATAATAATAATTTATTTATACTGCGCCTGTCTGCCTGGGTTTCCCCAGCCACTCTGGGCGGCTCCCAACAAAATATTAAAAATACAATAAAACGTCCCCATTCCTTCCCTGCCCTGCTGCCGGCCCCTTCACCCCAGGGACTGCCCCGGCCCTGTCCTTGTCCTTCTGAGGCTGCTGTTCCCCGTGGCCCAGTGGGAGAGTGCCTGCCTTGCAAGCAGAACGGTCCTGGGCTCAATCCCCAATGGCATTTCCTGGCAGGGCTGGGAGGCTCCAGCCTCAAATCCTGGAGACCTGCTGCTGCCAGTCAGTGTTGACAGCACTGAGCAAGATGGACCAGTGGTCTGACTCTGTATAAGGCCACTCCCTAGGTTCCCTTGCTCTGTCCCGTGTGCTGACCTGGGTGGGTTCCCAGCCTTTCTTGCCCTTGACAGGGCTTTTCCACTTGCCCCTGCAGTCGGGGTGGCCCATCCTGTCTCGGGTGGCCGTTCTCACTCTTGGCTTCAACAGAATTCCATTAACCTCAGCGGGGATTTTTCTCCCCTTTGCAACCTTTTTTGTGTTTTGTATTGTTGTTGTTGTTTAGTTGTTGAGTCGTGTCCAACTCTTTGTGACCCCCCTGGACCAGAGCACGCCAGGCACTCCTGTCTTCCACTGCCTCCCGCAGTTGGGTCAAACTCATGTTGGTCGCTTCAACAACACCGTCCCACCATCTCGTCCTCCGTCGTCCCCTTCTCCTTGTGCCCTCCATCTTTCCCAACATCAGGGTCTTTTCCAGGGAGTCTTCTCTTCTCATGAGGTGGCCAAAGTCTTGGAGCCTCAGCTTCAGGATCTGTCCTTCCAGTGAGCACTCAGGGCTGATTTCCTTCAGAATGGAGAGGTTTGATCTTCTTGCAGTCCATGGGACTCTCAAGAGTCTCCTCCAGCACCATAATTCAAAATCATCAATTCTTCGGCAATCAGCCTTCTTTATGGTCCAGCTCTCACTTCCATACATCACTACTGGGAAAACCATGGCTTTAACTATATGGACCTTTGTCAATAAGGTGATGTCTCTGCTTTTAAAGATGCTGTCTAGGTTTGTCATTGCTGTGTTTTGTATTAGCATCTTGCATTTTTCCGTGGGGTCTCAGTCGCCTGCAGTGAAATGCAAGCAGCACCTAAGAAGCCTGCTATTCAAAATCCCAGGTCTCCAGCCTGCAAAAGTGGTGGAACCAGTCAGTCTGAAGTCTGTTCTGCAAAGGGAGCAGGGGAATCCCAGTCCATTGGATTGATAGTGGTGTTTCTACGCCACTTTCCTTTCAAATGAAGCAGCTTGCAAACAATAAATAACCAGAACGGAACAGAACATCGCAAATACAGCATCAATCATACAATTAACAAATCAGCAGTAAAGCAGCTGCAATCTGTAGACTGCTATTAACAAGTTTGCTGCTTTGCTTCTTTGGCTCCAGGTTGCACCCACAGCTGCTGGAGCTGGGGGAGATCCCTGCCTGGATCCTGGGGAACTGCTCCCGGCCAGTGGGTTGGCAATGCCAAGCTAGATGAGTGGATTTAAGGCCTTGACCTGTTCCTGGAGGGTGCCAGCCTGCGTGGTCGGGGCAGCTGACCCTCTCCCTCCAGGCCCCAAATGGCCCTTGGGCTGAGGAGAAGGAGGCTCCTGCTCTCTCCTTCCTGCCCGTCAGTTTCAGACTCTCTGAGAGAAGCAAATGCCGGCAAAAGGCTTTGCAGGCTCACTGCCCGCAAAACCCCTTCATTTCCTGGTGATCTTTGCTGACAGCATGACTGATAAGTCTCCTCCCGAGGGTCGCTGCTGATTTCCATGAGCGGGAAGGACTTTCCATGGTCTGTAGCTCATCTCGCACTTGCCCAGCCTTTGCTACTCACTTCCCTGCGCTAGACATCAAAATTAGACACTTGTTGAAGAATAAAATGGGGAGCGGTGAGTGATCTAGGGCCCAGTATACCGGGAAGTGTCCCTATTCATTCCATCAAGGTTTGTGCCCTGAAAGGGGAACAAATGAAAAACAATTTCCACCTCCCTTTCTTCCTTTCCTCATCTCTCCCCCCCCCCATTTTTCTTTATTGAATTTGTGTGATTTTTATTGTACCTTATGTGGAAAACTTTCAGTGAATATTGATTGCGAAAAGAGGGAGAAGAAGGGAGGCTTGTTCTGCCCTGGAGGAGCTGGGGGCTTGCAAGGAGGCTGGGGTGGATGAGAGAGGAGCCCTGAGGAAATAAGCCACGGAGGAGGAAGCAAAGCCCCAGTGCACAGCTTGCTTCAAGTCTTGACCGTAAGAAGGAGACAGGCAGAGAGCTCCACTGGTCAGGCCCAGCTCCCCAGCCGCTGCTCTTCATTTCCTGGGCGTCTCTCCGCAGGTGCTAACAGAGAGCCACCTTCATGGATGAAAAGCCCATTCAGAATAAATTGTGGCACTTTGTGGGGAGACATTAGCGCAGATTGGAGTGTTCTCGGAGGCCCTGTCTCTGGCTTGTCTGGGGCTAGAGCCTCCTGCATTCCTACCTTGGGGATTTGCGGAGCAATTTCCGTGTCCTGTCTGAACGTAGCCGTGGAAGGAGGGGAGCCTCCCCATCCCTCCCAACCTGAAGAGCAGCCGCCTAGCCAAGGCGTTTCCATAATGGCCCCTTTCTTCTGTGCGACAATGTCCTCCTCCTCCTTCTCCAGATCTGCTCCAAACTCTTTCGTTTCCCCTCCCAGTGATTACCTGCAGCTGTTGAGTAAAGCGCAGGCAGTCGCCCTGCTTGGAAAGATCTTGGCAGGAGTTTGGGGAAGGCGCACAGAGTCCAAGTGTTGCTCTCGAAGGTCAGGCGAGGTGACGGGGCGGCTGGGCCTGCCAGGCCCCTTCCTTTTCCATGGCTGGCCAGAGGTGCCTCTCACCTCTGCTCCGAGGCTGGCAGGCAGGAGGGCTCAACTGGATGGGTGAGGGAGGGAGGCAGAGAGAGACACAGAGAGCTGGACGTTCCCAAACTTAGTTGCTTTCCAAGCTGCAAGCAGTAGTCAGACTACGCACTCTTTTGGTTTTCTTAATGCAGTTTCAGTCCACAAAGTGCACACACACAAAATAACAAATTTTATATAATAATAATAATAATAATAATAATAATAATAATAATAATAATTTATTTATACCCTGCCCATCTGGCTGAGTTTCCCCAGCCACTCTGGGCGGCTCCCAATCGAGTGTTAAAAACAATACAGCACTAATATTAAAAACTTCCCTAAGCAGGGCTGCCTTCAGATGTCTTTTAAAGATAGGATAGCTGCTTATTTCCTTCACATCTGAAGGGAGGGCGTTCCACAGGGCGGGCGCCACTACCAAGAAGGCCCTCTGTCCGCATATAAAATGTACAACTCAGAGAAAACGTTCATTGGAAAAAAATGTGGGTTTTGTGGGAAGAGTGTGCACAAAAGTCATACAGTTTACACGCAGGTGTGGTGGTGTGTACATGTGCTCTTTTGGAAAGTCCTCCCAAAAAATGGGCTGGGAAGGGCCAGCGAGTGAGCAATGGTGAAAGGCTCCCGGAAGGGGCTTGGGCTGGTTCTTCCGGGTCTAGCGGGTGCTTGCAAGGCACACGGTCCTTTGCTCTTCTAAGTGACTGACCTCTTTGTTCCCGTTGATAAGGGTGAGCGAGGGAGGGCGAGTCCTCCTGCTCTTCCAGTTGTGGTGGGGGCAGTCGGAAGATGAACCCACCCAGGAGGTGGCAGTATCCCAGATGGATTAAGGCTGCCCTCTGTGCTTCCGGAAGAATGGGAATTTGCAGGGGGTATATTTCCCCCCTTTTCAGTGTGTAAAGTACAGGGACCTCTCTGTATATGTCTTGTTTCTGTTGTACAGCCAACGAAAGGAAAAAAACGTCCATTGCATATAATCAACCCATGTGGGTCTTTCTCCTTCTCTCCCCTCTCCCACCCCAACTCTTCAGTTGTCTTGGGCTCTCTTTAGTTCTTCTCCTTTGTCCAAGGCTTAGCGGTTCCTATTCCTCCGTCCTGCTGCCTTTGGGAGGGTGCTTTGGGAAAGAGGTTAGAGTCCCCCTGTGACCCGCCCGGGGTGGGTGGCCCCTGCTTGCAGGCCTCGCGGAGACATCACTTCTTTGGCCTGAACACAGATCTCCCAACCCTCTCGGCTGCCCCAGGGCTTTGTACCGGGGCCAGCTCCATTCTCGGTCCATGTTCTGCTCGAGGGGGCCATGCTGTAGGGGGCTTGCTCTCTCGCTCCCGCCCCCCTCTCGCCTTGCTGACATGGCACAGGGATCCGATGGTTTCCTGGGCAATCTCCCGCTGGGCCGTTGGGCTGCTCTGTGCTAATTGTCCTGACACCTGACTGAGGGGGCTCAATGGAAGAACTGGCTGTGCCCTCCTGGGCCGGGTGGTGGCTGGAATTAAACAGCAGGTTTTGCACACTTGTGCTCTGACATCCAACTGGCAAGCTGTGCTCAGACTATGACCTCTCTGGCTGTTCAAGTTGCTCGGAGAACTCTGTGCGGCAAGTGACTCCTAATAATAATAATAATAATAGACATCTGGTGCATCTTAAGAAAACCATCTCATCAGTTTGTGGCATCTTGAGGCTGGGAGGTTGATCTCCATATGATGCCATGTTGTTGTTGTTGTTTTTGTTGTTGTTGTTTAGTCGTTTAGTCGTGTCCGACTCTTCGTGACCCCCTGGACCAGAGCACGCCAGGCACTCCTGTCTTCCACTGCCTCCCACAGTTTGGTCAAACTCATGCTGGTAGCTTCGAGAACACTGTCCCACCATCTTGTCCTCTGTCGTCCCCTCCTCCTTGTGCCCTCCATCTTTCCCAACATCAGGGTCTTTTCCAGGGAGTCTTCTCTTCTCCTGAGGTGGACAAAGTCTTGGAGCCTCAGCTTCAGGATCTGTCCTTCCAGTGAGCACTCAGGGCTGATTTCCTTCAGAAAGGAGAGGTTTGATCTTCTTGCAGTCCATGGGACTCTCAAGAGTCTCCTCCAGCACCACAATTCAAAAGCATCCATTCTTCGGCTATCAGCCTTCTTTGTGGTCCAACTCTCACTTCCATACATCACTACTGGGAAGACCATAGCTTGTATGCCATTTATGGAGTTGTAAATCAACCATGGCCCATGACGTCCGTTCAGACTGCAGGTGAGCCAAGGAATCTGCCTGGCACAGGGTCAGAACCTTGGTCCATCTAGCTCAGTATTACAAGCACTCGCTGGCAGTCACTCGCCAGTCTCTCGCAAGGGTGGG